ATGGACACAACGCGTAATGTCACGGACACATACGCAACATAACTGCAGTGTCTTTGTTTAAACCTTTGCATTGTCTATAATCTATGCTAATGCCTGGGGGATTCGATTGAGCTTACAATTTAGATGTTTAATACACGAACGGTATTAATATTTCCTTTCTACGTAATGTTGGAAATAATAATTATACAATTTTAAAGCTGTTTAATATATCATAAACGTATTACACATATCAGTAGGTCCGATTACGTTTATTTATGCACCGCATGGAAAACCACAAAAATTATTCGAAAACATAATTACGATCGAGAATACTTTAATTACCACTAGAATCGATAAGTGTGGAATTAACCAATGATTTCCGAATACTGATATACTTTAGTTTTAGTTTATTATAAAAATAAAAAAGCAAGCATAGTGAATGTGGTGTTAAAACATTTTTGGCGAAACTGAAAATGTTGGGATCGTGCCTGCCACTAGCATCGGCAATGTGACAGAACTGATGGGTTGCCGCCCTTTGAAACCAGAGAGGAGACTGAGCCCACGGTTTCCTTTAAGGGCGACTAGGGCTCAGGTCACAGACCTCACGAGGGGCCACGACACTCGATCTAAAATTGGAACAGTGAGGCGATTAATAATTCATCGACATCGATTGTTCCGAAGTAACTGGATTACTCGGTATCGGCCGAGGCAAAAACGCATGCAGACGATCGGGCTCTTCGACAGTTATTTTACAGTTTTTGCTCAATACTGCATCCGGAATGCGTGCGCGCATTTTTAAGCGGGTGCTTCGTTGAACACAATGTACCAGCAACCATAACGCGACTTTCAAGTTATTTAAACAATCAACAGTTCTTACCCCGTGAAATTGTCTAAGCGAGTCTACGGAATTAGAGTAGAATAGAATATTGAAGAAGTAAATGTAGAGTACTCTGTACCCTGTTTAACACGACACACAAAATATTATTTCCATTTAAATAAACCCGAATGTCATTTCAAATCTTCATTAAAGTTCAGTAAAGTACTTTTACACGAATTTATCAAATTATCATATATCATAATTATCAAGTCAAAGCAGCGTTTGAGACAATCCAGGACAATCGTCCTGTTACATCTTAGACCTCTAAGATGGCAAATAGAATTTCTTCGATTGCATCGGAGACTTGCAATAATAAAAACTACCGTTGCATGATGAAATATCAACAACCCCGGTGACACAACAGTGAGTGGCCATTTAGCCACGTGTCAAGTGGCATGAGTCATGAACTCATTACTCCTTTCGCGTTTCCCTATCTAGGTTACGAGGAAGCTGAGTCAACTTATCATTTTATCAACATTTTTAACCACCACGCTTCTTCCGTGAAGATCGGTGGGTTTTAACAATGACTACCGGCGAGCTAGTGGTACGGCTGGGTATTTAATAAACATATATAGCAATCGTTTGTTTCTTACGTTTGTTTACTCTAACAGACGACCCACAGCCTCACCCTATTATTATTCTCACCGGTTCAAATGTGAGTCATCGTCGAGCAATGAACCCGCTGTCAATAGTTTTTTAACATTCACACGATAACCTCCGAAATTAGACCAAACATTGACACTTGACAAAATACGATAAGCGTTCACTTATTAATTGTGGGTCGTGGCTCAAAGCGTCGGGTTCAAAATTTTGCTCAGTTACAAAACCAAGTACTTACTGAATATAATTGAAAAACTGTCTAAATAATGCAGCAATCATTAAAAGACATCCAATCATCCCGTTTCCCTTAAGCCCCACATATCTAACTCCTACATATATCTAACTGTTCAATGGATATTACATGGGTGGTAGGAATATCGAAATTCCGTCCGGGTCACGAACCAGAACAGGTGAAAAAGCCGTGAAGTTTAATCACGTTTCGGCTTCAGTCTGTAGATTTCTGAATACGCAAAGGCAACATAGGTCGACGACGTATCTTGTTTAAATGCTATAGGCTGCTGTATTTCACCTACCACCGAGTGAAACCCACGCTTATCTGTCCACCTCTAGCATTCTTCACGCGTTCAACTATTATCTATGAAAATGGTCTGAAGAAAATGATCATACCACACTCATCTCACCACTTGCCCATCTCCATTACACGACACTATCCAGGCTTTCCACCGTCACGTGAAAGTCACGCCAAACATTCGAAAGAGGTCAATCGTGAAGGTTGTTTACTCTTCAAGTCTCGCCCCATTTAAAATATCGCCACTCGTAGTTCAGCAGCTTCTGATAAAGTTAATTTTAGTACGACTTGTATCTTAACATTTTTTATCTGTAGTGAATAGCTTACATGTTCAGGTATTCGAACTCTGCGGTGATAAGGCAAGTGCGGAAGAAGTAAATAATAATTACTAATTATCAATTGTTGACTCTACACAATCTTATTTTTGTTACAGATAGACGAATTTATTACTCTCTGAGGAGTGAGCTCTATAAGGAATCTATTTTCTAAAGCTTTTTGAAACTTCTTAAGCTCGATGTTGTCCTGGGAGTTAAAAATAAATTGCCGTGTAGGTCTGCTTTCTTACACTACAATTCCGTAAAAAGTGTTTGTAACATCTTCGAAAACTCGAAACTTCTTTGATTACAAGTTTCGTATTAAGTTAAATTCACTTGTTATTTCTATTTTTAGCTATCGTTACACCCCAGGACGCTTTCATTTACATAAAGGACGTACTATTGTTATACGTTGACTCAAGTTAATTTAATTATCCTTTTTTAAAAAAGATTATTGAATTCTGACGATGGATGTATGAATAGGCATTTTTACGTCTTTTACATAAAATAAAGAAACATATATAAATACAAAAGTTAGGTGAGGACAACTTTGTCACACATTTAAATTTGTTAAACTGTATAATTGACAGAGACAAAACGACGGACTATACACTACATGGTTGGTATGGTTCATGTTCAGACAGGATTTCAATATTTCTACCACCACCCATATATTTTAATGTCCATAATCTCACATTTACAAACATTCGAAAAATGTTTTATATATTTGTAATATGTCCGATACAGTGAAAATTTAACAACACAGCGTACAGCAGCCAACTCGTTTTAATTTCTTAACTATAGGTACCACGATCAGTAAAAAGAAAAAAACTCTATACCCGTCACTTTCTAAAACCTGCGCAAGGACAGAGACACCTTGATGCCGAATTTTGCACCAGCATGAATGTATAGCTCCGAACTACGTAGGTACTTGGTAAAATAAAATTCACATTAAAATCGCGTGATCCGAACGCATTTCGCATGTTGCTCCCAATCAGGCCATAAAACACTGAATATTAAATACATCCATCCATTAGCAATAGGAAGTAACGAAAATTAGGACGAGGCAACTAATTTTATTCGTGAAAAAATATTAGAGAAATAATAGCATTTTGATTAGTAGAGACACGCACAACTTTTCGTCGACGTATTTATGTTTTAATTAGGGGGGGGGGGGGAGTATTCAAAACGCTTCTGTATTTTTTGAGTCATGGAGGATTTTTCTCTAGCCTTAATATGATAACACAACAATAATGACTCTCGTTAATTGAATAGAATAGAGCTAAGATGTTTACTTATAGTAACTGCATATTTACATTTCAATAATGGCGTAATTTTAAAACAATCCGGTTATGAGTTCACCTACTGAATAAATATTACAGCGATGTTTTGTCGTTTTTGTTAAGCTTGACGTAAAGTGACCCAGAATAATACTCTCCGTAAATTGCAAATTGAATAAATAAAGCACAATCTTCTATCAATGTGGTGTATTTACATATATGAATTATTATTTTATACGTTTAAGTTTCTATATTAAAAAAAGGCTTAACATGGAATAAAGAAATGTTCTTTTAACAAACAGTTTCATTGGTTCTGGCAACAACGGAATCGGTTGTTCCTTTGATAGAATAAAAAGAGGTTTGACGAATATCAAAATTCTATACATGATTTATTGTGTTCAGACAATAAAAAGTATTGCGATTGACTGTTGCAACGCCATCATATTCATTTTCCACGTGAACACATTACTAAGACTAGGTAAATAGTAACTATTAATTATAAATCAATACTTCAAGGTTCAATCACACACAAGTGGTTTTCAGTTCAGTTCACACATGAGTACCAAACTACAAAATATAAGCAGCGACCAGCGGACTTCCGATCTTTGAACTGCGCAACGGTGACCAGGATCAACACTCACAAAACATTTGTTTTCATATTCAAAGTCGAATGGAAAATATCTGTCATTGAAACTATGCATTAAATAGATATATCTCTTGGTAAATCAACACCTGTAACCTATCAACCTAGTCATTAAGACTGTAATTGTATATCGAGAATTACTTCCTTATTTGGATATTATTTCGTGCACTAGAATAATAGATAATCGTAAGCCTCGAATACAATGACGCAATAAAGTGACTTCTTTTAAGAAAAAAGGCAGAACAACGCGAAGTAATTAAATACTCATTTGCTAAACTATTAGAAGTGATTATCTGCTGGCCACTCCGGTGATTGCTTTGTGAAAACCCGATTTAAAAGCTGGCACGTCCCAGCCCTATACAAAGTGAACCCAGGAACAAATAGGTTCGCTCTTAGCGCTCTAGCCATAAGATCGAATGTCGCCGGCGCTGATAAAATAAAACAGCTGTTTTACCTGTCAGTACCGTTAGGGATACCTGTATAGCTTTACCTGCCGAGTTATAAAAAACCTGTCCCGACCAGCTGATTGTCTATTATATACACAAAATTTATAAACACTGGGTAAAAGTCGGAGTCGAAAGTGACCAGAGTCAGTCGATACAATACGCTGCATTCAGAAATCAGTCGGGTAATACGTTAATTAACTTTCTAGTTTGCACGGAAGTTGCGCTGAATCTGTGCGAACAAGACAGAAAAACGCAAGACACCTACGTGGTAGGGAAATCTAAGCATATGTTGTAATACGCCCGCTCCACAGTGGAATAAAACAAAGACTCACCTTTTTTCGAAGCAAGCTACGATCGCCTTACTCCACACTCAACACCTACGCTATAATATAACACTCCGAAAATCGTGTCTTATTCTGTTCCAATACATTATGCACAGTTAACAAAATGTCGGGACGCGATAACGCAGTCCAAATCTTTAATTCAAGGTATTTTCGCTTTTGCAACGAGCGAGCAACCGAACCGTGCTCGCTTTAGTCAAGAACTAAAAAAATGTCAGCTGTGCCGAGCCGTTCTCGTCGCCCATTGGTAAATCGATTCAGAATCTTACAAATGAAATAAACTTTCCACCTATCCCTCTCGCGTCTTCGACCTCTCGCTCTAACACAATCTATAAAACTTGATTTTTACGTTAAATTAGACTTAAATTACATTAAAAACTACATATTTACACGTTTTAATCCTAAATCTAACATATTTTACATATATTCTGTCATTTTTCTGTCTGTATTTTTCAATTGGAATCATATGGAAACAAAGGACATGTCATTAGATAGGTAATGTTTATTGACAATCGTAAAATGGATTATGATTGGACATTGCACAGCTGTTTTTGACGTTTGCTTAACCATTGTATTAGTGACAGTGATTAAAACTAGATGGCGTTGCAAATTTTAAACCACATGCAAAAATTCTCATTGAAAGTCATACAATAATATTACATAAACTGATTTGTGTTTGGACCCCTATTTTGGTATATTTTAAATAACTACATCTAAAAAAATAATTGAGATAAAAAAGATACTGAGTTGATCACTGTGGCTTAGTTAACAACCTGTTGTCATGACAACAGATTGTTTTGCTGTTAACAACAAAATGGCCGCTAATTTAAATAAATGTAGGCTGTCGAATGAAAATATTTATTACAAACATGATTACTTCTCCTTGTGACTTATTATGTCAGATTTATATTCTGAAAACGTTTTAGCATCGGTCTTTTATATTGTGATCGTTGCATCTAGAAGAAGTATCTCGACAAAATCATGGATTCCGAAGCCTTATTAGCTAGAGAAAATGAATTTAAAAAACTCAACAAACAATTGGAAAAGAAAACAGAATTATTAATGAAGCAAATTGAACAGGTTATGGTATGTAGTGTTTATCATCCTTTATAATATTAAGTGTATCTAACATCTACAGTTAATACATCTTTATATCCTCCTTACAGCAAAAGCAAGATATATTTTCTGAATTTTCCGGCAGTCTGTCGAAACCAAAAGATAGACACACAAAAACGCACTGTTGTGACATACCAGAAGTCACTACACCAGAGAAATTTGAAGCACCCAAAAAAGTTAATAAAAAGCAAATCGGTAACACAAAGCAAAGTGATTATTCTGAAACACCAGTTAAGAATCCAATTGAAACAAATGCAAATTTAAAATGTGCCACAAATGTTTGTGAATGGTGTAATTTAAGTTCTAAGGTCAAGAGAAACAATGATTTAGACTTTTTGTATGCTTTTGTGTCCGTTAACGTTAAGGAGAATGTATTACCACAGTCTTTTTTAAAAGGTAAGCGTTCTTAATTATATGTAATACCAAATAATATATATACAATATGTATTTGAATTGTTCATTTTAGACCAAATAACGGTGGAGAATGTTTGTAAATTCCTCTCAGCCAAGGTCAAACTGATGCAGGAACAAATAGACCAACTTCAGGTCACTATTAACAAAATGGTGGGTATCTTTAATAAATAAGCTATTACTATGACAAAGTAATTTTACTATAATCTCTCTATAATTAATTTTCTCTTCTTGAAAATTACTCATGTAATTAAATTTTATTGAGAATAATTGAACTTTCTGTAATGTTTGAATTTCAGAGCAAACAATGCGATAGTCACATGAACCAACTGGCTGGGCTGGAGAGTGAGAGGATGTCTTTGATAAACAAAGCAAATAATTTGCGTTCAGAATCTGTAGATGTTAAGGCAAAATATGCTGCCCTGACAAATAGATACAATGTGAGTTATGGGTACATTTAATCTTCCACTTCATAAATAAATGAAAACACTTTGACTGTTTAAAACACGAAATGTATAAGTTAAACTTATTTAACAAATTGGTTGGTTGGAGACAGTTTTTTGTAGCAGTCGGGCTGTAGTATAAAACCTTTTTTAAATAAGTTGAGTGAATATATTTCGCGTTTTAAACTGATAAAGTGTTTTATTTAAATGTGTCGGTACTGCTCGCGTAAGCTACCGAAATATATGACATAATATCCTACACATTATGTTGAATTGTTTTTCTCTGTATGTTAACAAATTCTACCTCAAATAAATGTACATTTAGCATTGTTATAGCTAAGGCATAATTACATATTTTATTTTAGGAAAAAGACCGCCTTCACAGGGAACAGCGTAGTTCAGCGGACAGACTGAGCACGGAGATTAAAAGTCTGAGATGCAGAAACGCGAATTTAGAAGCCAGGTGCGCGGCACAAGATGAAAGTTTGGCAGCTCTCAAACAACAATTAGAAACAGCTAGACTATCTGAAAAGGTAACATGGCTAATTTATACAATTAGTTACAATTAATGACTGCATTATTTGTTATGGCATTGTATACATTTATAAAAGATATGTTAATGTTTTCAATATTAAGCCTACCAGAAAATGGCTTTATTAGTATTTTCAGTTAGTTTCTATTAGTATTAAAATAATTGCTGTGTGAATAAATGTTACATATCTCATTAATAAATAAACCTTTGTAGGACTTTCGAGACGCCACACGCAACCTTTCCGCTTCCCACCAGAACGCCATCTGTCGGCTAGAGGCGAAAGTGAAATGCCTATCTACCCGCATAGAAAAACAAGAGGCTCTCATAGACAACCTAAAGAAACAAAACGCGTTGCTCGCAACAGAGGGCGCTTTGAAAGCTTTGGAAAAGGATTATAATGAATTGTTGAATTCAGACTTTCAGTAAAAAATGTTGTACTTCATATTTTCGTACATTATTTATTTTTAGAATCAGCAAAAAATAAACTGCTTTTGGCAAAGAATGGCTTTGTTGATATAATTTGCGACTATTTTCCTAAGATTGAATATGTTACACCCATATAAATATGTGTCGTAATGTGAAACGATTTGTCGATAAAACATGTGTGATACTTATAATTCCACTTAACGCAAGAGGATAACGATTCTTAGACGTTATGTATTATGCAAACACTGGTGATTTAGTGTAACCATACCTTGACGTAATTTTGGGACTTATTTAGTACCTTAGCTTAGTGAATTTGCCATATGAAGTGTTTCGACAAAATTTTATTGAGAAACTTATTAGTAATACACTGTCGCGGGCATAGATTATTTAAAGAAGAATTATTCTTTTTTTCATATGGGTATCTTAAACCGTTTTCGCTGCAAAGGCAAGGGGCCATTAACGATAATTTATTTCTCCGTTTTTCGACATTTCCCTCTGTTTTTTTTAACTCCTATTTATTTATTTAAAATTACATACAAGAATACAAATTTTTCCTTTATCTTTATAATTTTAGTATAGATACATAAATAACTTTTATTAGTCGCAGCGTGATGTTTAATAGATAACCTAAAGCTTTCCTCGATAAATGCCCTAACCGAAAGAATTTCTAATCCGAATCCAGTAGTTCCTGAGATTAGCGCGTTCAGACAAACACATTCTTTATTGAATGTGTTATAGTTTGTACACATGAAAACAGAGGTTTGAATTAATATGCATTAGCTATCGAGGTCTTCACATCCACAGACATTCTATTCCGTGCATGTAATCAGTGTAACTTACAGTCCTCAAGATTTCCGAATCGTAGTTACAGCTTGCCCTCTCGATAACACGACCTTAAATCAGCTTATTAGCAAATATCGCGCCTTCAAACCGCAGTCGAGATAAACAGTGCCCACGTGTTTGGTCGTGTGATGTGGATACAAAACCTGATACTATGAAAACAGTAATCTTGCTGGCGTTAGTCGCACTAAGTGCGTATTCTGTGGACGGGTCCCACCTCGTTGTCGGAAATGTAGCAGATCGGGTTGTGCTTGCTCACCATGCGAAGGTGGAATACAACGCAATTCCGTTCTTTAAGAGGGTGAAGTCGTTCTTCTATTCGTCGCCTACGAACAGACCGATACGGGTAAGGCCATTTAATTATAACGACTATTTAAGTAAAACACTTTTAACGGATTAAAACGCGAAATATATTCGTTCACTTAGTTTTTATTTAATTAATAGTACATTATAATATAAGTGCGGTTAGTTGAAAATTACAGCTTCTTATAGCCTATATACTATATAAGAAAGCAGAGGCTATAATTTGTCATAGCGGCTGTATGTCATACGACGTTTTATAACATATTTACGAGGAACTTAATAAAACTCTAACTTAAGCGATGCGAGCGCAAACGTTTTTTTTTAGGAAAAGGTACAAAAACAACCAGTATTACTAATAAAGTAAATTAATATTTTTGTGTTTTTGTTATACATAAATAATTGTAATTTATTGTCAAAATTAATTTAATTAAAGAATTAAATGTTAATTTGTTATATTTTATTTCCCAAAGTTAATTTTATTCATAAAATATTGACCACTTTCGTGACATTAAAACCTCTTTGCTAAGATTTTTAAAAGTATAGTTCATATTTAGACGGACGGAGTATCTTAAAACTTTATAAAAAAAAACACGTGCCTTTTACATTACATTATCGCACAAGTACCTAATGAGATGCATTACGATATTGAAATTGGTGTAAGTACAACCACTTTACGAGCAGATATGTTATAAAATAAATTACAAATATTTGAACTAATATAATTCGCGTTTTTAACTTTTAGAGGTGTTTCACTTTTAAGTGTAATATTATAATATAACTTAGATCTCCGTCTAATAATCCAGCAATAGGGTTTGATAATTTATAACGTTGCTATTAAATAGTGCTTATCAGCTTTAGGTCAAAACAATACTCAAGTACTCACTTTAGTTAACTAGGTTTTAGGTTACTATCTTTTAACACCCAATACAACATGAACAAGTATTTGTCACCAATCGTGGCCAAATATGTGTTTTTGGTTCAAGGACAAACTGATCCCCTCAATATGTTAACTGTGTGTACAAAAAGATAAACCTCGGAGCGCGACTGAGGTTCTTGATTTAGTTAACGAAATTCTTCTGCATGTCTCTGAGTCTTAAACGTGGTTTCAGGGTATTCAAGCATTGGACACGGAACACACTAAAGCTTCGATAAACATCACAGCCGGGGGCATCGGATATCCCTTCGTCAACTTACGAATGAAAAGCGAAAGAGGCCACGGACTTAGCTACGATATTGGGATATATATCAGCCCCGACTTTATCTAATTGTAGTCGTCCCTGGACTCAGATTCCAGTCTTCGTAAGAGGAATTTTCTCTCTTTTCTACTATCATTACCATTTTCTTATAATAAAAAAGCACAGTAGACAAAATAAAACAGTCACCCTTTTTTCATCAATGTATTACAAAAAACTGGTTACAAAAGTTTAGCAATACAGGAAAAACTATAAAACAAATCTGACGTTACGACGCAGAGGACAAGTGACATCAAAATTGAATTTTACAGTTTTCACGGTTCAACCATATTAAATACAAAACTCATCTTAAACTCGAAAATAGACGACACCTGATATACGACAGTGAGATTTGCGCACCAAACAGGCTGGACCGGCGGAATGTTTTATTTTACGCACTATTCAAGCGCTTTCAGAATTCTATAGAATAACTCTGAGCGACGTACTCTCGTAGCGAATAAAGCGCGCCTTCGCAAGACATGAGATTTTTGTCCACAAAACGGTTACACTATGGACACCCTACAGAAACCAACAGAACACAGCCATGCCAAGTTTCAGCAGACGCGGCGCCAACAGTCACTGCTCCTCCTGCGGCTCTTCGGGGTTGTCTGGCACCTCCACATCCTCACGGGCCCTGATCGGCTCCAACTCTGTAGCGCGAGGAATATTTGATTAAATAAATGTAATTATAGTATTTGTTAGTGATTTAAGTTTTTAATGAAGTCGGTTCTTGTTTCGCAGCTGTAAAGCTATTCAAGTCAAAATAAATATCTGTCTGTCTGTTAGGGTCATTTTAGACCAAATTTATATTTGCACTTCCATTGGTCCGAGCCTCAGCAATGGTCAATGCCAAAGACGATATTAGGTAACTATTAATAATAAATATTTTGCAACTTACCTATAACAGGATCAGCAGTAGCCTCGGCCAAATTGGTAACAGACTTCGACTTGAAGCATTGAAAGTCTACGTGTCGGCTCTTAGCTTCCTCCTTCTCCCAAGACATGTGAATAAAGGGCCGCTGCACATAGTTGTATATTACTTCGGCGCGGCCTCCTGGCCGTTTGCGAACCTTTTCTTTGTAGGTCGGGTAACCTTCCACGCCGAGACGAATTTTCTTAAGACCACGCTCTTTCATCACTTGTTTTGCGACGTCTCTGCAACAGGCAAATAATGATTATCATTGGTAGCTATCTCACTTTTGCTGTAAAGGTAGAAAACAAATTTTATTTTATTTATTAACAAGGTCAGCTAAATTTACTGTTAACCTTAATAAAAATAAGACCATATTCGGCCTTTTAGCAATTTTATAAAAAGACCCGGTTAATTCCTTATATTACGAAGGAGAATAGTTGTACCTATTTTCGATATATTTAAAGAACCGGTACAGGGGTGTGGATAGCACAGTCTGGCTGTACTCATCGCCCATCTGCGGAGGATATTCCTCGTCCCACTCCACGGAGTCATCGTCGAGGAGCACCACCACATGGCACTCTCTATCGCCACGCTGCGCAGATTCCACCATGAGAGGCAGTATCAAACGTTCCAGGAAGCATTCAAATTGACGTCTAGCACCCTCGTTTGATAACTCATGTAAAAGGCCACGAAGGTTCTGTAAATTAATAAAAGGAAAAGTGAGATACCTAGATCAATAAAAATTTGCTCTAAAAATATCAATTGATTGTGACAAATTGTCAAATTTGTTAAGGAAAAAGGTTTTTCTGTATTGACAAACTTAATATTAATAAAGATTTACCTGACACCGCACAGTATTTGCGTCAAAAGGCACTAAAAGATAATCGCAGGCTTCTCTCAATTCTTGCACTGACACTGTGGGAGGACAGCGGATGGTACCACCACGGTAATACTCCAGTATCGCTCGGAACACTGTTGCCGAGATTCCTTCAGCCACCTCATATTCCCCTCTTTCATTAGGGTGGGTGAAGTCTATACCTGTTATATTTTAAGATAAGAGCTTATTTATTACTAAATGACTAATGTCACACTAGGTATACAAATTGATACAATAAACTGTTTACTTACTATACTTAACAGTACTAAATAGTAAAGTACTCAACATTAAAAAGATTTTTTTATGTGGTGTTACCTCAAGCAAAATATAAACTTAAACTTAAATATTAGTTACATGTATTATATGCAATAAATATTAATAATATTTATGTAATGTTATTGATAACTAAAATGGTAAAGAAATTTTATTTACATAAAATAAATTATTAAAATTTTGTTTTAGATCCATTTTCTTTAACATTTGAGATAACAAGATTCCACGGATAAACCACCTATGCATACACAATTGTTTATTTAACTTCATAATAGCTATTACTGTGTAGATCAAAGATTTTTCTATTACTTCAACTGTAATATAATTTATGAACCCATTTAAAATATATACTGAATTGTTGCGATTTCTTTTGTTATCAATACTTCAAAGCTATTCTATAATAGATAAAAATGTGCTCACATGTAGAATAAATCTGAGTGTACAATAATAATATAGTAGAACTTGCCTGAACTAAACATCCTTCCAAGCATTGTATTAGGATGTGCGGTAAACTGAGCTGGATCCACTACAAACCTAGTATTATCCACCACCAGTGTTATTCTATCGTCGCACAAAGGATTCTTCTTCTCCAGCTTTGGTTGATCCGTTGAGGTCGACGGAATTGGTGCGTTAGGCGACTGCGTCTTTGCCATCATATTCGGCCTGCGTAGGTTTGGCAAATTGTTACGCCTGGACAATCGCTTTCGGCGCTCCTCGCTGTCTCTTCTATACTCTTCTGTGTCGCTGCTGCTGTCTGGATAGAAGAAAGGACGTCTCGACTCTGACATGGCCTGTTGGCCCCTCGCCTGTGTATCAGACATGGAAGCACGCTCGTTTCGAGCCGTCACATCACGCTCGATGCTCCTCTGTCTTCGCCTTGGCGACGGTGCTTAGACTGTATCGGAGCTCGTTGTTGAATTTTATTGCTGAAAACACGCCAATTACAAAGAAAACGGACAATACTAAAATGCAAATTAGGAATGTAAAAAGGTTTGTCAAAATGATAACAAGTGACAATAATAATAACTTGACAATTTACCTTATGACCACAGAGGAGCATGGAAAATCTATGGTAATTGTATAATGTGTTAAAACTGTCAATTATTTGTATGCTGAAATTAATTGGTTATTTGTAAGAGATTGTTTAATTACTTCACAACTTTAACGTTTGATACATTTAAGAAAAACCGGTTAATCTTTTTACTTTAGAAACGGGGGGATCATAAAGCGTTCGTGATCGTGTTACTTTACAGTAGTAGAAATTAGTGGGCGTTGTGCTAAGTGCCTTTTCATGAAAAAATGGATGAAAAAACAGAGTATCATGATCCAGATTATCCAGAAGCGCCGGTCACAGTGAAGGCAGAAAAATTAGAAATTTCTGAAGAGGAAAAAATTGAGAAGATCAAACACATAATTCACCGTGAGTTTTCCAACGAAATCCAAGAGAGGGAAAACGAAGTAACTCTCATAGATCAAAGGTTAGACTATATAACTTTGTATTTGTAATTAATTGCGTATTAAGTTAAGTTTTTGGCCTGACTGAGGTCACCATGATACAAATGTTTACCTATAACATTGTTATTCTTTAGTTATACATTCACAAGTATACCTAAGTGTTAATAAATTATTTTTGACTCCGACATTTTACATAGGTGCACCAGCTGAAATATTAATTTATACTTGTATGCCAGTTACAATCAAACGAGAAGTTACTTATTTACACACATCCTTAAATCATGCTTTGGTGATTAAAGGTTGAACTACATTTTCTTTGCAGATTATTAACAGCTCGTCGCTACTTGCATCAACTTCGATATACATTAGTTAATAAGTACTACAATGACCAAAGGTTACAGTTATCCTCCAGTCAGATATCAGATGATATTGCAGCTCAAACAGAACCAAGAGCCAAGACTGAGGTATGTTATCTTTATTTGAGAGTACAATATTTGTGATAATATGCTGACACTTTCAAAATAATTAATACTAATTAGTGGCAGTAATATAAAATTACTTTTAATTCTGTTGTTATATTCTAGGTGGCACAATTACTGCGTGATGGCCAACGCAGGCTACATCCATCCGTTAGAAAACTTTTAGGCAAGAAGACAGCTGATCTTGATGAGATATTCAGATTCAGAGGACCCAGGAATAAAACTAGAAAAGACTATTCTGTGAGTACTGAATAACAACAACCTTAAATGGCATCTGTTTAAAGAGTTTAAGGTACCTATATACTATGATACCTAATGTTTGACAAATTATATCAAAATCAATAGTTTATAAATCATATCTAGACTTGGTAAAAAAACTGGACAGCCATTCAAATTCACTTATGATATAATGCTGACATTCCATTAATATTAATAATGATTAAACAGTTAAGTTAACATTTTAACTAAAAAAAATATATAGAATTGCAATTCTATCTAGAGTTAAAAAATGTATTAATAAAAAATAAAAAAGGAACCTTTTTATGATAGAATTTACTCTTTTACATGCTACAGGCTATGGTCCAGAAGCGCAATTACACTATATCAGCTGATTCTACGAAGACTCTTCGACCTGAAGGTCAAGAACCAAAAGAGTCTGTTCCAGAAGCCTCTGCGGTATCAGCCAAACCCAAGAAAATTCCTCGCCATATTGAACCCAAAGTGGAAAATGTACTGACACTAGACGAAATTACTAGGAATAAAATGAAGCATAGGTATAGGATTGTTATAGGCAAGTACTTTTCGTATATTCTACTTAATGAAAAAAAACACATCATTATTTTGCGGTATCTAACATATAACATTTGCCCATAAGCATATAGGGTTAACAAATGTCTTTATCGAAAGAAGCAACAGACTAATTTTAAAACTAAAACTTAGCTCAATGGAAATTAAGCTAAGTTTTAGGTTTAACAGAACACAAAATGGTTTCGATCAGCACAGAACAATTGCTTGTCTGTAAATCAAATAGGGGAATATGGGAAATCTGCATTCACTTACTCACTAACGCTTTTAAAAATCGATTTTATGTTGTTCAAATTTCACAACAATTGGTTATAGAAACATCACGGAATACTCAGGATGCCGGTTTGAGTTCCGCCCGAGTCGTAAAATATTTTCAACCTAAAATCGATATTTAATTCATTTAAGACCATCAAGATTTCAAAATAAGGTTTTTGAAAACGTCATAAAATAGACTACACTAAATCTATGCCCTCGTATTTATTGTCTGTTGCACACTTCAGGTAACACTTCCAAGTATGTGCCGCCTTCTTCCCGCATCGACAAGTCGACTCACAAGTGGTTGCTCTACGTCCGTGGGCCTCCGCTCAAGCCAGATCTGTCTTGCATCATCACGTCCATCACAGCGAGGTTGCACCATTCCTACGCACCGCACCACAATGTACACTTACGGTGAGTTAAATACTGTCTGTAGTTTACGCGAGTAAACACTTAAACGGTTTAAGACGCGATATATTAGTTAAACTTATTTGAAAATTTTTCCTACAGCCGACATTACTTACGGCGAGTTATTTTCAACATATATTCACCGTCCTAGTGACTTTGTCCACAGCAATTCATAAAACAATCGAACTTCTGAATAAAACGTCATCCCCTTTATTTATTTTACTACTTCTAGGGTACTTTAAAAAATTACATAATAAATTTTTAGCAATTATAAATCTCATTAAGAGTGAAAGCTTCTGATGAAATGCAAAAATTCACAAAGACACCATCCGCTTTTTAATTATAATGTAACTATAACACATATTAAAGTTAAATAACAATACAGAAATATATAAATATGAGACTATTGAATTACTGCAATTTGTTTAATGCAAACGAAATAACGATTAATTTCTTTATTGGGGGGAAACAGATTACAGTGAAAAAAAAAAACAAAAATTGATTCTTTGCAATTCCAGCAAACCTCCATTCCAAATATCTCGTCGCGGTTGGGGCGAGTTTCCTGTCAAACTGGAGCTGCACTTCGCTCTACCCGAGGTCAATAGGCCCTCTATAGTCTCGCATACGATCAAACTGGACCGCCATTACACGGGCCTGCAGACGCTCGGTAAACTCTTCGCCTACGTTAATAAATGATTTTTTACTTGCACTTTGCTTAAGAGATGTATTATTACTTTACAGGTGGAGAAACAATAGTCGACATATATTTATATAGTACTCCAGATATGTTGGAATTGGCATACAAAGAAGAAGAAGAAACGAATCCACAAAGCGCAGAAGATACCCCGCACGCTGATGCGACTCCACAGACAGAAGCATCCGAACTTACAGACACAGAAGTTAAGCAAGAACAGAATGAACCGGAACAAAACGGAAACGATAGTTGGATGGAATTCTTCGATAACCAGACGTCGGTTAGCGTCGACGATATGATAGTGAAAAACGTACAAGACGAACGGCTACATATACCCCCGGAACCGGACGTAATTGTTCCTAAAGAAGAAACCAATTTAGACGTGCCCATAAGCGACGTGGAGCAACCCTGGAGGAAACGCATCATGAAGTACATGGACCCGACCACGGGCAAGATCTACTACCTCGAAATGGACAGAGCGCTGGATCTAAGCAAGGTGAAGGAAATCGTGATAAACTCGAAAGGCAACGTGCAGACGGCGACGATAAGTCCGATCAAGAGCAACGGCTTGAAGAAGGTGAGGAAGGGCGTGTCCTTGCTCAAGCCGGGCCTGAAGAATTCGCAACAAACGGACGTAGCGCTCGACCACATCATGAACGACCACTGCTACTTAGGGTACAATTGCTACGAGAGCCAAACGAATACGCAGCTGAACGATTTCCAAAAAGTCATTCCCAGGTTTAGAAATGTAAGGCAAAGTGTTAATTACCTGTTGAAGAAGATCCCGTTGATAAGCGGCGACGTTCAAAATAGCGAGTTCGTGAAGTGTTTCCCCTTTGTCGTTGAGAACGATGAGAAATATTGGAAGCTGGATTTCGCAAAACGACGGAATATCGAGGTGACTAGATCTTTCAAATATAACTTACAAGATTGGACTTTTGTAGTCCAATTAAGACTCATTGGTTAAATGCATTGCGGTCTTGGGTTCAAATCCCATGTAGTTGGAGAGTATACTTATAAATAAGAGAATTTTTATTTATTTCTCTCCTTTTTTAAATTGCAGTGGTCAAGGGCAAAGTTGATAAAAGACCTCATAACTGCCAACTTCACTGGCAGCACGGAACCATTATGGCGGACCAAGCAAATCCTCTGTTTCGCTCGGTTGCACGGCTACTATCCGATCAGGCCGGAGAACGTCCACTCGCCTCCAAACAAGCAGACGGACGAGTGGTCCTCTTGGCATGACGCGGACAAGACGACAAATCTCGAGTCTAACATCAGAGAGCTCTACCCGACGGCGGCTGACATTACGTCACGGTCAACTTTCGACATTGACAGGTACAAAGTGACAGACGAGGTCGTGCTATCGGACAGTGATGAAGAAGTAATAGACGTGACGGGTGATAGGAAAGCTACAGCTAAAGCTGTCAGCGAGAGTAAAGACAGCTTAAATGTGCTACCAAGTGAGACGGAGGATAAACTAAGGTTTCTCTTTGTGGAGAGGAAATGTGCCGATATCGGGTTGGAATTGAGGAATGAAGACGTGGGGCATGGCTACTGCTATAGGTGTGTATTTTTTTGTGTGTTATTATTAGAGAAGTGACTTTGCTTGCGCAAATGGGAAGAAAGTTAATATATTTTGAACAGTGCAGTACATGCAGTTCTATTGTCTGCGATGAAGAGCTTCGCCGAAGAACTGATACGAGATTCTCTAGCTGTCAAATTGATGGAAGGCTCGTCGGTACACCATCCACCGCCCACGTGGTGCGGGTGAGTTATTTTATCAAGTTTACAGATAATTTTATATTTCTCCTTATCAAGAAAACTGAGAATTTTTACCAAATTACAATAACATTTTCAGGTCTTCGTCTAGGGTGAGCGTACAACTGGAGCACGTGTTCCGAGCTGCCTCGCGACTACCCTTTATAGCGAACACAGCGCTCGGCACGAAGCCCAAACAAACGCATACTTTATAATAAACCATTTTCGTATAGAACCTTTTGTCTTACCAGAACCTTTGCCCGCATTGAGTCCAAGTAACTATTGAAAATAGAAAAAATGCTAAACACAGATAGACACAGTTCATCATTCAAATCAACTACTCACCACCTACCGCCGTTTTCTATAACCTATCTATCCATACTTCCAGCTACTAAAGATAAGCAAATCGAACCTTTTATCCTTACTTGCTTTTCAATAACCTACTAACGGATAGCATCTTCTATCGAAGATTCCTATCATCGAGAGGACGGATAAGCTACTAGAGATAGGAACGCTCATTCAAATCGTGGTTACTTGCATTTCAATATAACTTTTTAGTTACTGTTCGATAGACAAAACTATCTCTGGTAACTTGAATCGCTTATCTCTTGTTCACTGTAACTTCGTCCGAGATCTCTTACTTAGTGTACCGAACGTGGTTTTTCCAATGTGATGTATTTTTACACTACTAGTAGACTACACACATTTCTTAACGTCTGTTGCAGCTGCCCGACGCAGGATAAGAATTGACACGAAATTATAGATAACATGGTCTTATTTCATCTTTGAATGGTTGACTGACCAGTGCTTTAATGTATAGTTTTAGCAGCGTATGCGCATACTGTTTTTATTTTAACACTTTAGGGTACTTAACTTTTAACGACCTTAGTAAGAATCGCTAATCCACAATAATTATAGTTTTGTTATTCATGGTGCATGTAGGTTTCTATCAATGAAAAATGTTCTAAATTAGCTCAGTAATTTTTGCGTTCTGCCATTACGAACACGCACACAAAAATACAAATCAACCTTTTATAATATTATTATAAATTCACTAGAGCAACAGACAGATTAAAAAAAAAACTAAAGTTATCCTTGCTTATTTTATTGTAATAATTATATAACAATAATCTGCCTAACTACGATGGAAAGAGCAATCTGATGTTATACTTATTTTTATTAATATAATTATTCGTTAACTCCTGCAAAATTTTCAGAGACACTCCATATAACATTTTTGTTGTTTTGTACACGTCGAAGTGTTGTTCCGTCACTAAACACTACAGCAGACTCCAGACTTCGCCTTTCTGAAAATTAATCATACGGGAATATAGGCTTATTCATGTTTGGTTTTATCTACGTGTAATTCTTAAACTACTAATAGGCATGAATTTACAAAAACTTTCATTTGCGTACGAGATGGCGCGAGTGTCGCAAAAGTAAGTGATTTAATACTACCCTACACTGAAAAGCATGTTGAACTTCAACAAATTTAACAGTGATTATATTGACGTGGACACGTCGGCAGAGCAACACTGAATTCCGTTCCAGAAATTGAAATAGAGTTTTGAAAGTATTTTTAAATTAACTTACGCATAAGTACAGTGAGCCCTACGCGGCGGCAGGTTGTCCTAGCAGTGTCCCGGGCGTTACAGGCGTCCCCTGTCCTTGGGGCGAGGGCGCTCCGCTGGTGTCCTTATTCTTTTGTTTCTCCAACTTCGTTTTCTCACCGCTCACTATTGCTTTGATATCATCGGCATCCAGAGTCTCATATCTGTAAAATCATTAATAGCACCTCAAAAACACCATCGCTTCCACATCTGAAAGATTGCTTTAAAGCTATATTCTACCTCTCACTGATATAGTATAAATAAATAAAAACTTTTTTAGATAACATTTTTTTTCTAGGTAATCTTTGTAATTTAAACTCTAGATGGCGCTCGTCCGATTCTTGTGTTGTCGCGAAGAATACTTACTTGAGTAGCGCTTCTGAGAGCGCCTTGTGCTCCTTGGCGTGGGCGCGTAGGATCGCCTTCGCGCGCTCGTAGCTCTCTGATAAGATCTTCTTTATTTCCGCGTCAACCTGCAACATACGCTTTTTGATAAAGGAGTGCTCCCGCGCATACAAAAGCATATAAGAATCTAAGATAAAAATAACGTACCATCTCGTTGGTGTTGGGTCCGAGCTGTTCCTGCTGGAAGGCGCTCTTGGGCGCCTCCATGCTGCGAAGCCCGACCTTGTCGCTCATGCCCCACTCGCGCACCATGTGCATCGCGATCGACGTCGCCTGCTTCAGGTCGGATGAAGCTCCTAGAAACGGAACGAAATTGGTGTGCTTGTGCTTTGTCATTTAAATCGTAGATTCACTTTGAATAATATAAATACCGGAAGTGATATTTTCGGGTCCGTAAACCAACTCCTCTGCGGCTCTACCCCCCATCATGGTGTCCATCATTGCGAGTAGCTGCTGCTTCGTCACGTGATATCTAAAACAAGGGAAATAATTAGAAATAAACGGTAGAAAGTAAAAAGATCCAATTTTTTAAAAAGATTTTTTCATAAAAATAAACATAAGGAAGGAGCAACATAAATCAGGGAATTAAATTAATATAAATAATAAGACAAAAACTTTACTTACCTCTCTTTAGCTGGTATGTAGGCCGTGTGTCCCAACGAAGGGCCTCGTGGAATAATCGTTACTTTGTGGAGCGGGTGTGAGTCCTGAAAAGTTACGACTTGAAATAATTCATAAATGTGTACCGCTTTTCATGTCTAAACGAAGTTGGTAAACAAGTAAACTAATTTAAAAAAAAAGTAACAGAAGGTAATTATTGTACATTTATTTAAATATACGTACTTTGGTGTAGTAGGCGACGAGGGCGTGGCCTCCTTCGTGGCAGGCGGTGATGGCATTGGCCTCGTCGTCGGGCAGGCGGCTTCTCCTGGCCGGACCCATCAGCACCTTGTCGCGGGCCTCCTCCAGGTGTCCCATCGTCACCGTTTTAGCGCCGTCGATAGCAGCTCTGCGGAGAAAGAATCACGATCGCAATTGCTTTGTTGTCCGCGATGCGAAATGCCCGCGCCGACCTAACCTATTTTCGCTTAGTTTCTAGTGAATTAAGTTAATCTAAATTTACATTTGAGTCAAAGACTATCAAAATATTCCACTCACTTCAAAGCGGCCTGGTTGACCATGCTCTCGAGATCGGCGCCTGTAAAGCCCGTGGTACTCCTCGCGAGAGCCTCGACGTCCAGTTCAGGGTGCGCGGCTACCTTCGCCACGTACATTCTTAGGATCTCCAGCCTACCACCATAGTCTGGTGTGGGTACAGATACCTGTAAATATTAACCCTTAACCCAGCTTATATGAAAGGACTTAAGTCTGTTATTTCCATGTTTTCAATTCCTAGATTCCAGTGCTCAAGCAGTATTTTTGATCACACATAGTATAACACATGGAGCCATGTTCATCTCAGCATTAACGTAAATAATTTTTAATAATATACTGCAATCAATGAAACAGAAACTCACCTCAACATCGAACCGTCCAGGTCTAAGTAAAGCTTGGTCAAGATCATCTCTCCTGTTGGTCGCACCGAGGACTATCACACCCTCATTCTGATGGAAACCGTCCATCTCTGATAGAAGCTGGTTTATTGTCTGAAAATTAATATGGATAGTTAGAAACAATCACAATATAATGAATATTATTTAGCAAGTATACAGATAAGAAGGAGATATACATTGTTCTTCCAAATTTTAGTAGAATTCGAAATGAATCACTACTGTAGAGATGTAAAGAAACTTGTACCGACATACCTGATTGGCGTATGGATGTAGGACACTGTTGGTTCTTTTAGCCCCAACTGAGTCTATTTCATCGATGAATATTACACATGGTGCTCTCTCTTTAGCTGCCTCTGAGGAATAAAATTCGATTTATAAGCATAATATAGATTATTAATAGTAACAGAATATAGATGCATTGCATCTACATTTCTGAATATTAACTGAAAATTTAATCTTTCTCATTCCTTCTGTTTACAACACATTTATAAACTTCACAACTAGGAATACTTGCAGGGAAAACGATGTGTCATTGCGGGTGCAGATAACACTTAACAATCTAATCAACAAAGAACTTTCAAAAGATCTTTAAATTATTTACATAAATTTATTTTATATTAAATTGAAACTTACTGAAGAGATCTCTCACACGCCTGGCGCCCTGTCCGACTAGAATTTCGTCGAACTCCGGTCCTGCCGCGTGGAAGAAAGGGACCCTGGCCTCGCCAGCCACCGCCCTCGCTAACAAGGTCTTGCCAGTGCCGGGAGGGCCCACCAGCAACACACCTTTAGGTAACTTTCCACCCAAAGACGAAAACTTCTCCGGTGATTTCAGGAATTCGACCTGAAGATTATTTTAGTTTGCCTAAATTAATGGGTATTTTGAAGGTAGTGAGTTCCATCATCATGCCACGTGTTAAATCCACGTAGTCATAAGGAACAAGCTAGTTAACAAAATATTTTTATTTCATTCTTTTATGACATATAAAAAGAAAAAGAAAAAAATTACAATCACTTACAACATCCTTCAGCTCTTGCTTAGCTTCATCTGCTCCTTTCACATCATCAAATGTGACCGAGATGTCTTCTGGGTCCACTTCCACCTGATTTCCCAGTTGGATCCTGAGATTAATTAAAGAAAGAAAGAAAATAAGTAACATTTTGTATTTTTTTCCTTTTTTTCTGAAAGATTTGAGGATTGACCAGTCTATTGGTAGACAATGTTCGTCATATTTACTTCATCTGATATTACTTAAATTCTTATTAGTTGCAAAAGTAAAGGAGGAAAATTAAATTTACCTAAAGACGGTGCCACTGACAGAGGCCATGAGACTGACAAAAATGGCAAGAAATAGAACAATGGTCAGCAGTTGTTGTACCAATTTTAAATATTTGGATGCTTTTGTACCTCTTACATTGTCTGGATGAGAACCTGGAAATAAAGTGCACGTAATATTATCTACATATATCATTTTAGGTGCTACTTAGGACTACAAAATAGTCAACAATTACCAGCTAAGTAGCCCTCTGCAAAAGCTATCTTAATTTTATCTTTCTGCTGATGAGAAAGGACAGTGTCCTCGTTGAGCAGTTTCTCCAACCTCGGAGCCACTTCAGGTCCAGCTGCAGATTGTTTCTCTATAGTTTCTGATGCATTCAAACCTGAAAAGGAAAATACAAGGAATTAATAGATATACTCCTATAATCTGTAACTTATTAATTAGTAATAATAAAAAGCTTAAATAATATTTTTAAATAAATGAAAAAAAAAATATATATATATATATATATAATAAACGTCAGGCCGAAGTTAAATTTCAAATAAGTTTAACTAATATATTGTGTTTTAAACCGTAAAGTGTTTTTTTTATGTCAACTACTTGTGTAAAACTATAGACAGTATTTAATTAATATTTTGTGTGTAAATTACAAACAATTAATAAATATGTAATTGAAAGACCATAAAAAGAATTATCTTCATTATTCATGTGTTGATTTCAGAATTCTATGTATTAGCAAATTAAATGTATTTTAATATCCTTAGCTGAGCAGCAATGTTTAGATGTTTAATAGAATGTGACATGAGCAAATCAAAATGCTCTATCAATTTCTTTATAGAGATTAAGTTGACGACCTCTTTATCTCAATTAATCTATTGCATATATCTATGATAAGTATATACATGTTAATCTATATAAACAAAAAACTGGTATGCTAAGTTAGATATTGATAACATACCAAATCATAAATATATACTGACCCAAAGACTTACGCAGTCTGTTTATAAGGTTCGGATTCCTCTTCAAATCTGCATGAGTGCTTCTCTCCGTTTTGAAACCTCTGACTTGAATATTATATTTAAATGTCCTGTCATACAAATTCTTTGTTAGTAGACCTATGAAGTTCTCAGAGAAGGTGAACTTTTTCCCGCTCAAATCCGCAGTAACGATAGGGTCTCGAGCGCCCCACCCATTCTTATTTTGCTCGAAGGTAAAGGCAGATATATGTGATATTTTCTTAGATGAACCTATGTCCCTAAACGACGGACTACGAACAAACGATGCCGGTGACCGCGCATCAAAACTTCGCATCTCGAGCAATGCAATTTTGTCGAAATTCTTGAGCGCCTCCTGAAAACTCTCTTGACATATTGTTGCATCATATGTTGAGGTCTTTTTCACATTCTTCCCTTTACTGTTGCTTTGTTTCCTGTGCCTGAATAAACCAGAATATCGCGAAGATAATTGACTAAAACTTATAAGAATCTGAAACAGACAGGATTAATCATTTTCTGGCAAAATCATCGTACCGCTTGTCACCGTGATAATGAGAAGGCAGTCTTATTCCAAGCGAAAAGCGTACCTGGTTTTGAGTGTTTATAGAATTCAGTGAGAACATGTTACATGTATGTAATTTTTTTTGCTTTTCTCGAAGTGCACTCGAAAATTTTGTAGGCAGACTTTATTTCGTAAATTCTAAAATCTCTACGTCAAACTGTAGCAAAACATCTTCAAAACATGGCGATTGGTGTATTTTGCCACAGACTAGTGATATATGATAAACCCACAGGCGTACATTTTCACACGACCGCGGCCAGAACTTAAGTTGTCTAGTTCTTAAGCGAGTTAAATATAAGAAAGGATTAATATTTTAAATATATCTTTTAACATCGCATTAGTTAAAGTGCTTCTTATTTTGTGGCCCGTTAGAAATATTTATTTAAAATTATATCTGCGTAAAATGGAGCTTCTCCAGTTTTACTGCCATCATCCTTGTCTATGGTTTATTTGGACAGTAAATTTCAAAATGGCGACGAGCGATGACGAGCCTATGCATTTATATGAAGTTTTTCAAAACTGTTTTAATAAAATAGCAAATAAACAACAAGGTGAGTGAAATAATGCAAATCGAGGCTCGTAGCGCGTTCCTCAAACGAACTTTTGCGGTCCAGTGCAGTGTTTCATTGTGAAATTCATTCAGTGTTTGCGTGTTATGCCATATTCAGAGTGGGAGCCGACCAGCTTTTTTAGAAAATGCGCTCCAAAACATTGATTTGGGTAGTTCAAACCAGTAGCTCATCGCTCAGGAAACATCTACGCAAGTGTCGAAAGTTTATCCATCGCTTTATTGTACCTGAAAGCGGCTATAAACGCTATGTTTTGGTTATAGCAGCGATTGTCAAGGTGGATGTCCATTGTGCTTTGGTTCCTTTTTTTTGAAGGATTTTTTTTTCGTGCACATTTAGAGTTCGATATAGTAGAATCGTTGAAATTGTAACACTAACCACGGTTACAAAATTTGTAATGATTGTACCTTTTTCGTGTGAATTTGCCACTGCAATCGTTCATAATCACGAATGACCGTACCGTTGCATACTTTTTGTTCTTGTTTACAATAAAATTTGTTTATTTACACGGAACGGCGACGAATAAGAGTTGTGCACGCAGAATCGTGAGTTTTGAGTAAGTCCAATCAATTAGTCCTAATTTACATCTAATAAGGAGATTATTGTCTTCTGTTCTGTCTAAATTACATACCTACACTCCGTTCACTTGTTAGTCTAATAGCACTAAATAACTAATATTTATTACCTATAGAGGTATATTAAGAATGTTTTTTATCCAAGGTGTGTTTGTTTTTGGTCAAAGTATATGGTTGCACTGCCCACATACAAAGTCATAAAATACATAACTTATTCTGATATATTAAAATTTGTATATATACATTATTGTTAAACTACCTTAGCTAATATTGACCAGATTAAGATAATTTATCGGTTAAGCTTATTTGTCTAATGCCAAGCCAATGCCTAGATTCTCTTAAAATTCTCATATTTTAGTTAAAATATTACTATGGTGTTACAACTCGAACAAATCATTTGTAATAATAATACATTCATTTCAATCAAATTTGATTACTATAAAAATGGTTGTTGTTAAGCTTAAAATACAGACATACTGTCGTAGACATCATTCATCATTCTTTCATACATATTTTTTTATATCCTCAACTGTTTTCGCAGTGCATGTAATGGTAGTCCCTATAGATAAATAATTATTTTCCCCATTTTTATTCACTACTATTAGTGTCACAGTATAATGTTATAACTAACTTGATAAATAATCTCTCCAACACAAATCATTTTTCTATTCAAACCAGTATTTCCTGAAATAACCATGTTTATCTAAACATAAAGTCTCTTTAGCTTTATAATATTAATATATTTTTAACGTAAACTTGAAAAAAATTGCAAATACATATGTATTTTGTCACGTTTGTCCAAAATTTTTTTTTATGTTAATTCCCAAACATGATTTTTTTAATAATCTTTACAAACTGTTTGATAAATTTTCCTTTACATCAATTATAGCTATGGTGGGACTGGACCCACAACCCTCTACCATCATATTGATCTACTGGCCGTTAAAAGTTCTTTATTATTTTATACATGCACTTCTCGCACTATGAAGCTTCAACGGTATGTTGGTACTTGAATTAAGCGAGCTCCAGCATGGTACACTGTGGTCTTGCGGTCATAAGAGTTATATATTTTTCATATGTTGCTATACTTAGCAAGTTCATCAACATACAAAAATTGGACATTAGATATTGCTCTATCTTCCTTAGTAATATCCAGTTTGGCAGACAGTGTGACATCCAATATGCTATAATCAGATCAAGGACACTAAATTGATACAATGGAATCGATTGGTCGTGTGCTGAATTATAATTGACGATCAGATCGTGAATTCAATATCATGAATTAGATGAATCAAGTCAATGTGCTGATCTATGATACATGTAATATTAAAATAGATGTAGGCGTGTACCAATGGTTGAATTTATAAAATGTTATTTTTTTATGGTAGTTATACTTTTTACTTAACTACTATAGGTTTTTGTATGACATCAAGATTGTGGAGGTTCATAATGTAAGTTATTTTCTGTTATACATGATCTTAATAATAATTCCAGGCACCCCATTTTCGTTTAAAGAACCACCTAAATAACTAACCTCGATTCTCCTAGATCTGTTCATAAATTTTGAAGATTTACAATATAATACTAACAGTGTGTATTTTTAATATCGGTTTCACAATACAAAAACAAATAAGTTCAATGCATGACTAAGTGCTGTTCCCATTGTGAGTTTTACACCACTTGTGTAAACATATGTATTATATATGAACTCTAGGATTCTCTGTGGTTTGGTTTCAAAAAACAATATCCTATCAATAGCTAGCTCAATGTTAATTGCAAATACATAACTAAGCTTCAGTTAAAATAAACATTTTGGTCAGTTAGCAAAGTGTATATTATGTACAATTTTACAACTTTTTGCTTAACTATGGCAATCCTGATTAAACATCAAAATTATGGCAATATTACATTATATAATTATTATATAGTATATATGATTTTCTTACTATTTCTTTTTTGGACTCCATTACAAGTACACAACAATGCCAACTGTTTCTTATAATTAAAAAGTGGTCGCAGTCGCCCTACGCCCGTTAGGGACAGCTATTAACTTTGCTAGACACCATTCGAGTATTGGGCAAGTCTTATATAGTGTAACGTCACATAAATCTCGAAGCATGACGTTGTCGTGTGTCAAACATTATCATAATAACATGACACGATACTACTTTTTGTTCCGATCAATGGGTCCCTATATGGTTTAATAGCTTTCGTCCGGCCCAAGCGATAGAAAATTCGCGATAGATCTCAGCGTCAAATAGTCAAAAGCTCAACAATTGTCCACTTCTATTTTCAGATTTTTTGTATGTCTTGAATACTTCATCATAAAGAAATTAGAGCCGCATTACTTGACAAATTGATTTACCTACTCAGTATTTAGGAAATATTATAGTTCGTAGGTATATTGAGGGAGTTGTCTGCTTTTGGAACTGTGTCTTAATGTAATTTGTGCTACTGACTCTAATAATACTGTACTGTACCTTACGTGAGTAGTACACATTTAAATAAAATACTTTAGGTGTTTCAAATGCGAAGTATATTAGTTAAGCTTGTTTACAAATTATTTTGATGATAAACTGTTAAATTCGCCGTATTACCCGTTTTATTAAAAAAAAATACAATACGTCTGACGAAACTGTTCCTTTTTCAACTGTACCAACTCGCATAGATACAGTTTAAACTTTAATGTCAGCAGTAATCGTGCCGAGGCCAGTGATTCGATGTTAATTCTCTGATTTGTGATTAATGCTGGGACTCCATCGAGTATGACATGTTGACAAGCGTGCTTTTATTCGTGTTGTGTCATTTTCAGAGTACTCTAATGAATTTGTAGTAGATAGGCCGTTGTACTATCTTCGATATATAGTTACTCTTTTGGTGATTCTTGAGGGAGATACAGCAGCTAAATCTAATTCATTTTTAAAAAAAGCTAAAATAGCGTAACCAAAAAGGGATCCAATCTATATTTTTTTCCTTAGTACTTTATTCATAGCAAAGGGAGATCAATTCTCGACGGATATTAATGGCTCAAGCGCAAGTCGATATGACACGCTTTAATAAATTATCGATAAGGTCCAGCCATTATCTCCTCTAATTAGACGTGCAGTTAATTGTATATGAAAACATTAAACACTTGCGATGATAAGATAACAGAGGTTACTGCGCTTGGGCCGCGGGTCGCCGGATCGATTTCGCACGCGTAAAGCTAATACCTAACTGACCGCGACGTTATTAGGAAAGAAATGTTATATATATACCTGCACTATATATGGCTAAATAATAATAAACACCTGGTGAGTTACTCACTTTTAGATAGATATGTATTTTTTTACGAATCGTTCGTAATTTTATTTAATCAGGTGCGCAATGTCCGATAGAAACAGAATAACCTAATCGAGTACAACGATAACTTCTAAACATTTTTGTTTTATGAGAGCATAAAGTGTGTGATACTTTTGCATAAGAGAAAACGATCGATGGCACAGTGTGTGCCTAAGTTAATTCATATAGGAAACCAATAGAAGACGTGAAATTTTCTAAACTATGTTAAAGATAACTTTTTCACCTTTTATGAATATAATACGTATTTTAGTAGCTTTGTGTGGCCTCGAAGATTCTGGAAATCTAAATTATGTATTTTCAGAAAGTTGTGTTTTCTTTTCCGTGTAAATAGGTATCATATACGATTAAAGCTTCTAAGTTTGTTGCGTAAGTGGCCGATTAATTAAATGTATTAAAGTGCTAATTAGATTAGATGGCAGACATGTTTGACCCCATGGGGGGTATTGGGCGAGGACAAGGGTTTAGATTGAGGCCGCAGCCGTGTGCTGGACTTAAAGTATTAAATTTAAAATTAAATGTTAATAAATTCAATGTTTCTCCAGTCTCAGCAACACAAAATACCTTAATAATTTATTAGATGATCGTATTTCGATAATATCGATGATTTTTAGGGTTCCGTACGCAAGCAGTAAAAACAGAACCCTATAAATGACTTAACTGCCAGTTTAATCTTTCTGTTAACCCCTGTATCGCCATGAATACATTTTTAACTTTCTTTGGTTTGATTTTGTTTTATATTTCGTACATGTATTTTTTAATATTTTACTAGTATTACTACTGTACTGTACTGTACTGTACCAGGCACCGGTAATGCATGGTTTTTTGTACAGATAAGTAACACGACAGTACCAAGTAGTTATTGCAATTAACTTATTAACAACAGATATTAATTCAATTTATTAAAAAGATCTCGGGTCACATAAGCACTGTAAAGCACTAATTGTAATAAAATAATTGTTTGGATAATAACTACAATGGCGGCCGATAATACCGTGCCTTATCGAGGTTTCCATTTAGTTTAAATTATTTATATTTCGTGTTAAATCAATCTTGCTAAATTTAGTT